TTAACGTTAAAAATAGACGAGAGGAATTCCAAAAAAATTAAAAAAAAATTAAAAAAGACTGTCCGCAAAATTTTTGCGGACAGTACGCAAGTGTATAAACAGGGATGCCAATGGGGTTTTTTAAAGTTCTAGGAGCGTGTATCGGAGATCGAAAAATTGTCCAAATTTCGGACTTGAACTTTCTGGTACCCCGTGACATCCCATGGTATAAGAAATATTTGCATGAATATAGGACGAAAAAAATTTTAAAAATCAAACAAAAAAAATTTATTCAAAAAATTTTCAATTTTATTTAAATAACATTTTTAAGGTTTCATAAATCAAAAAAAATATTTTCTTTTTTAATAGTTATTAGAATATGTAATTAAAAATATTTTTTAAATGATGATGTGAGATTATTTTTTTAAAAGAAATTTTTAAATTGACAAAAGAATAAACATGTAATGGGGAGGGAGGATTAAATATTTTAAAAAAAGATTAAATAAAAAATAATAAAATAATTAAAAATAAAATAAATTAAAAAAAAATATTTTTTTGATTCTAGTAAAATAAAAGGCTTCCACTAGGCAAAAAAAGAAAAAGTTTTTAGGGAAAAATTAAAATTTAAAAAAAAATAAAAAAAATTTTTTTTAATTTTAAAAGTCCGAAAAAAATATTTTTTGCTTATCGACGGCTTTCAAACGATGAAAAAAAAATTTAAAAAACTCCCGATTAAGAGAACATATCAAAAATGAAAAAAAAAATTGAAATCGATCAAAGTGTCGCTATAGCACTTAATTGGCCAAACAACACAATTACCTAAGCTTTTTCTTTTTACAACAAAAATTAATTAAAATTTATTTTTTCTCTGTTTAATATTGTTAAAGGAAATTGTTGGAATCAATAGAAAAAAAATTATTTTTTTTAATTAAAAATTCATAAAATAAAAAAAAGGGGGACACAGATGTGGGGGGTTGGTAAAGAAAGCTTTTAATAATAAAAAGAAAACAGCAAAAAAATATTTTTTTGCCTGAAATATATCTTTTTTGCCTGCAAAATGGTGGAAAAATAAATAAAAAAAAATAAAAGAAAATTTTTTGAAATTTACGAAAAAATTTTTTTTGGAAATTTATTTTTTAATTTTTTAAAGGAATTATTGAATTAAAAATTTAAAAAAAAGAAACTTAGAAAAATAAAAGTGAGAACTTGAAGAAATTAAATTTTGAAAGGGTTGCGTATTTAAAGAAAAAATTAATTAAAAATTAAAAATGACGAATACACGATTGTTTTTTCAAAAAAAAATTAAAAATATTAACCAATAAAATAAAAGGGCTGGGTCGTTGGGGCGCGAAGTCATTTACGGCGCAAGCTTATAAAATTACAATGAATTTATGTATTGGGCAGAAAAATAAAAATTCTACGAAAATACATAACCCCTCATAGTTTTTCTACGTTAGTCAAAAATTAAAAAAAATTTTTTTTTTAATATTTGGCTCCATATTTCATAAATTATGGCCAAAAAATGTCAAATTTACCCTAAAAATGCCCAATTTTTTCGAGGTTTTTTGACTATAACTTGAAAAATATTTTATGAAAAATTCTGAAATTTGGGAAGAAGCTAGTCAAGGACGTAAAAAAATTTTAAGAAAAAATTTCAAAAATCTAGGGGTTAGCTAGGGATAATTTTTCGAGGCACGTGCCAAAACATTCCGGCGCCCAAACGACCCCAACTAATAAAATAATTAAAAAAACAATATAATTTTTGTGATATAGTTAGAGAAAATAAGGGCAAAACCGGTGTAATTTATTCGAGAAAAAAAAATTTAAAAAAAAAGAAAAAATAATAATTACTTTTATTATTTTCTCTTCTTCATTTTCGCTTTTCTCTAAAATAATTTTTATTTTATTTTTTTTTTGTGTTGATTTACGTGTTTGCCGCGCGTGTATGTATCAAAAAAATGTAGACAAGTTTATAGATTTATTACAAATTTTTTTTGAAAATTTCTTTTTTGTGTGAACAATAAAAAGGAAGTTCTTTTTTAGAAAAATTTATTTAAGATCAATTATTTAAGATCAACTTTGCTAAGAGAGAGGGGTATTTCTAAATTATGTTTGAATTAAAAGCAGGGGAGGACGCAGGAGATAATTTCAAAAAAAATCGCAAAGATCTAGCAAAAATCAACACTAAATTAAAGAACGCATTCTGCCCTCTCCTGATTAGCAAGGGTCTTTGAAATCCAAAAATTGGCAAGTTTATCATAGAAAAGTGCCATACTCTATTTTCTCGAATAATTGTCCTACCCTCAAATTTTCCCCTTTTCTAGCTACAAGTTGAAAAAGAAATATTTTTTCGTGTGTTAAGGGTAAATATTTAAAAATAAATAATTAAGGTATAGGAAGTCAAAAAAATTTTTTTAAATTAAAATAATTAAAAAAAAATTTTAGAGGCAATAAATGAAAGAGAACGATAAATTAGTAAGTAAAATGACAATAAAAAAATAATTAAAAAAAGTATCGATGTAATAAAGTAAAATTTAGAAAAAAATTTGATTTAAAACAATAAAAAGGGAAGCACAAAAGAAATTCCTATAAACAAATAAATTAAAAAAAATATTAAAAATGTTTATCAAAAACTTGATAATACTTGATAGAATTTAATAAAAACAAAAAAATTTTGAAGAAAAAAGAGCGTGTCCGGTTAACTCATCTATTCGTTAACTCATCTACACGGCCAAAAACGTTCAACTCATCTAAACGGCTAAAATTCCTTAACTCATCTACACGTCCAAAAAGGGTCAACTCATCTAATCGTTAACTCATCTATTCGTTAACTCATCTACACGGCCAAAAACGCTCAACTCATCCAATCCTTTGGAACGAGACTATTGAGTACCAGTCGTTTGAGTCTCTGGCCGTTTGAGTCTCCGGCCGTTTGAGTCTCTGGTAAGTAGGGTCCATGGCCGTTTGAGTCTCTGGTAAGTAGGGTCCATGGCCAGTTGAGTCTCTGGTAAGTAGGGTCCATGGCCGTTTGAGTCTCTGGTAAGTAGGGTCCATGGCCAGTTGAGTCCATGGCCAGTTGAGTCCATGACCAGTTGAGTCCATGGCCAGTTGAGTCCATGGCCAGTTGAGTCCATGACCAGTTGAGTCCATGACCAGTTGAGTCCATGACCAGTTGAGTCCATGACCAGTTGAGTCCATGACCAGTTGAGTCCATGGGTATTGTGACTTATAGGGGGTTTTTGTTGGCTGGACCGATTTGGACAAATATGGTGTCATTCGAAAGAGCTCGCCGAGCTGAGTCGATCGCGGGGTGAGAGAAGTCGATCCGACAATCAGGGACCGAGATACAGACCTCTGAAGTTTGAAAAAGAGAACGGGGGAGTAAGCTCATTTTGGGGTGAAAAATTCAAAAATGCAAATAATAGCTCATTCGACTCAGCTCGTAGAGCTGAGTCGAATGGCACTAAAATCAACGAAATCTGACTTGATTTGACAAAGTTATGCTCGTTTGTATAAGCTCCTTACCTATGGCATCTGTGGAGGTTTTTGCATCTACTGGGGCTTCAAGTACATCCAGAGCAAGGGAGATAGGAATAGGTTTATGTTACTGACCCAGAGCCCAGCGACCGTTGACTCCCCGCGAGGCGCGTGCCGCGAAACCCCGCGCGAAGCGCGGGGTTTCGCACAAGCGCCTCGCCGACACTCCATAGGTTTATGTTGACCATTTTGAACCTGTTTATATTGGCTCTGAATCAAGATATCGAGCTGATTTTAGTGTCATTCGACTCAGCTCGACGAGCTGAGTCGAATGAGCTATTATTTGGATTTTCGAATTTTTCACCCCAAAATGAGCTACTCCCCCCTTCTCTTTTTCAAACTTCAGGGGTCTGTATCTCGGTCCCTGATTGTCGGATCGACTTCTTTCACCCCGCGATCGACTCAGCTCGGCGAGCTCTTTCGAATGACACCACATTTGTCCAAATCGGTCCAGCCAACAAAAACCCCCTATAAGTCACAACATTCGAGTCCATGACCAGTTGAGTCCATGGCCAGTTGAGTCCATGACCAGTTGAGTCCATGACCAGTTGAGTCCATGGCCAGTTGAGTCCATGGCCAGTTGAGTCCATGACCAGTTGAGTCCATGACCAGTTGAGTCCATGACCAGTTGAGTCCATGGCCAGTTGAGTCCATGGCCAGTTGAGTCCATGACCAGTTGAGTCCATGACCAGTTGAGTCCATGACCAGTTGAGTCCATGACCAGTTGAGTCCATGACCAGTTGAGTCCATGGCCAGTTGAGTCTCTAGCCGGTTAAGTCCCTGGTCAGTTGAGTCCCGGCCGTTTGAGTGGTTGATTACCGCCGGTTGAGTCTTGGGCCGGTTGAGACTCAACTGACCAGGGACTCAACCGGCCGATATTTCAAGGATTGGATGAGTTGAGCGTTTTTGGCCGTGTAGATGAGTTAAGGATTAGATGAGTTAACGATTGGATGAGTTGACCCTTTTTGGCCGTGTAGATGAGTTAACGAATAGATGAGTTAACGATTAGATGAGTTGACCCTTTTTGGACGTGTAGATGAGTTAACGAATAGATGAGTTAACGATTAGATGAGTTGTATAGGAGCCAAAAAGAGTAAAAGAAGCTAGGAAATATTTAATAGAAAAGAAAAAAAGAAAAAGAAATATTTAAGGAAGGGAAATAGACAAATGAACAAATTGACTAAAAATAAACATTTCGCCAAATTAATTAATTTTATTAAATTTTTTGAAGGGGGAAATGTGTTTCACGCCCAATTAGGCGCGCGGCCATAACGGCGCAAAGCCATAACTTGCTAGAAAATTTCTGGCCCTTGTTAATTTTGGTACCAATCTCTTTAGCTCGATGAGAGGAATCCTTTAATACTAAATTTTGAAAGATTCGGAAATTTTGAAGCAAGTTATGGCTTTGCGCCATTATGGCCGCGCGCCTAATTGGGTTGTAACTGTTTATCTTTACTTTTTTCTATGTTCAAAAAAAATTTTTTAAAAATTTTTTTTCTAATTAAATTTTTCAGATTTTTAAAAATGCGTTTAACTGATGTATTAGGTTTAAGACGAATACTTTATGGAAGTTATCATCCTTTTCGAATAATTCCAAAACCTTCAATTTGGCCAAAACGAGAACGACTTAAACGTTTTACTGCGGTTTGGATTTTCTAATAATTTTCTTTTTTTTTTATAAAATATACATAATTCCAAGTATCCTTTTCTTGATTAAAGGGATATCCGCAAATTTTGTCAGCATTTAATAAAATAAAATTTGCGGACAAAATTTGCGGATTTCTGCAAATCTTTTAAAAAATCTGAAAAAATTTTAAATTTTCTAGTGGCAATACGGACAAGATTTAAAAACAGTCAAACAAGGATCTCGAAAGCTCAACAAAGTTTTTATTTATATGGATATGCAAAGACAAGATGCCCCGAAATTGGAAAGACATGTTTGTTTGGATTTTAAATTTTTTTTTCTTTTTCGATTTCTTGGGGGATTTTTAAAAGTATTTAATATTTTTTGCTTTTACGTGTCAAAAAAACTGCTCTCGACTTTTTTCAAATTCCATTTATTTAGAAAATCAAATTTTGAAGGTTTAGTTGATTTGACCCTTATATTCGACCTTTTATCCTTTTTTAAACAATCTTTGGGGCTAAACCAAAAGTTTACCCAACGAGGGGCCAGGCTGATGTGAGAAAAGTGTCGAATGGGGTTCTCGCAAAAGTTCTGATTTTTAGTGCCGCAGGCGAAAATTGTGAGAAATTTGGAGGCCCTAGGCTAAAAAATTAACTTTTTTGCCCAATCCCCTCCAAAAATTTTTTTGTCCTGCGCCAGTCTAATTCAGAATCCTTTTTAATTTTTTTAATTATTTAAAGTACAACCAACAAAGATTAAAAGCAGCATTAGAAGAACATTTTGTGGAAATTGAAATATTTAAATCAATGTTGGAAAAAGCCCATATACTTTTGGAAGATAAAATACTTGTTCAATTGGCTATTTATGAACCGAAGAGTTTTAAGGTTTTTTTTGAATATTTTGGGAAGAGATTAGAGAAGTGAATTTTATATTCCTTATTAGGGTTGGGGGCCCGGTTCGGTTCGAAAGATCGAACCGGACCTCAATTTTTGGCCCGAAAAAGACTCGACCGGCCCGGCCCGAAAAAATCGAACGTCGGCCCGATTCGAAAACTTCAACCCTACTCCTTATTGAACATTTTCCTCCATCAAATTTTCCTTCCTCATCCCAATTTTCCCCTCATACCTTCAATAACTAAATCCGTCAGAATGGCCAATTTTAGAAAAAATTATTTCAGTCCGCAATAATTTTGCGGACTGTCCGAAAATTTTTGCGGATTTTTCTATTAAAAATTTATTTTTCTTTTAAAGTCATTAATCGATTTAACACAAAAAATGGCTCTCGACGACGGAATTGAAATTGTAACAAAACCGGAAGATTTAGAACATGTTCAGACCGAATCTAGTCTTTTTGGGCAACCATTCCCCGCTGCTAAAATTTATCCTAGCGGTCCAAAAGAAAATCATATGGAATTTCCAAGGAAGCTTAAAGTTGAAGAATATTGATTTTTAAATGATTTTTCGGTTATTAGATTATTGAATAAAAAATTTTTTTCCTCAATAATTTTTTTGGGGTTTAGTCTAGTTTATGAGTCCGTAAACATTTATGAGTTGAATAAAAATTTTGGTGTAAATTACAAACTCTTCCAATAAAAAAAATTTAAGTTTACAGTTAAAATTCTAAGATAATTTTTTGGGGATTTAATATTGCTCCTTTCTATCAAAAAAAAGAATTACAGAAAAATAATGATTATCACAGAAGGACAAATACAGTAATTTATAGGAAAATATTTATTTATTTTTAGGGGAGGGGATACCTATTTTTTAAATTTATTTTGGTGAAATATCCTATCCAAATCTTTTCTTCTTCTCACTCTTCCTAATTTTCTTCTTCTTCTTTGCTTCTTCTGCCGCCTTCCAGTTAATTTCCGCCGGTTCGTGAACAACACTCTTCTTCTTCTGCTGATCAGTCTTAAAAAGTAAACAAAAAATTTCAGTTTAAAATTCATTTTTCGACTCACTTCCTCAGCCCTTCCTTCATTTGGTTCCTCTGTTCCAGCCAAACTTTTACCCGTCTTTAAGATCTCAATAGCAGTATTATCATCATCCTCCAACAAATCGCTGTCCCTTTCGAGGCTCAAAAGATCCGAATTTTTGTTCATACTCGAGGAATTGGTGTTTTGAGATGAAGTTGGTTGATTATAGTATTTCTGAAAAAGAGAGGAAATTTTTGGATTTTTAAAAGAATTTACACTCACGTTCTTCCTTTGCATCCTCATTCGTGCCATGTTGCGGGCACATCTAGCATAAGCATCTTGGCGACGAGCCTCCCTCCGATCTTCTTCTTTGCGTTCCTCAATCCTCCTTCGGTTTCTCTTCTTCAAGTGGTTGTAGTAGCAGTTGATGATTGAAGTGATAAGAAGAAGGCCAATGAAGATTGAAATTGGTATTAAGTAGTGGATGTATGGAGGCGTCTGGTAGATTGTATAAGTATCCATGTGGTAGACCATAACTTTGAAGTAGCCAGAAAGTAGCGCAAGGAAGCTTGTCACAAAAAATCCCAGCCGAAGAATAAGCGCGATCTCTATATCGTGAAGTTCTCCACGGAGTAAGTAGTGCTTGTCACTCTTTGTATAGTCAGCAGAGACATTAAAAAGACAATAGATGCCGCCAACAAATATAAAAAAAGCAACAATGAACGTAGTCGTGGCAACGATTTTGAAGTTTCCAGAGCCAGGATCAGATGTGGTTGTTGCTTTAGGTGTTGTCGTGGTTTGAGGAGGTTTTTTCCTTGATGTTGAAGTCTTTTTAGTTGTGGTGATCCTGGTCTTTGTTGGCGGTAGTGGTGACGTTGTTGTTGTTGGAGGTGGATCTTTTTGTCCCAATAAAGTGTAGTCTTTTGTATGCTGAATAGAAAAAGGAAAAATTTTGAAATTTTATAAGAATTTGAAGATCCTTACAAATTTGATAAAAAGTTCATCACACTCTGGTCCTTTAGGAGATACCCTTATATTGCTTTCGTCACCACTGTTGATTCGCGCCGATTCTTGTGGAAGCATATGGAAGACTAGCAAGTTGATGTGATTCGATTTTGGCTTTGTCCCGTTGATTTTCCAAGTAACAGGCTCGGCTACGACCGTGTCGTTAGGGAGGCAATGAGCTATTTTAGTCGATTTGGCATAGTCCATCTTCTGCCCACGAAAGTCCATTATGAAATCGCCATCCTCCGTTATAGTCAAATCGAAGGATAACTGTTTGGCTTTTACGTTAGACGTTGTGTTGGTACTCCAAACGGCTAGAACTTCGCCCACTAAAATAAAATTATCAAGAAAGGCAGACAATATTCATATCCTTACTTGGATGGGCGTGAGCAAAGAATTTATTGTTACAGGTAGTCCATGCAGCTTCAAGAGAAGTCCACCTCATACACTCTGCCGACTTTCCACACTCAGGCTGATTATGACAATTTTCATCCTGATCATACAACGGTCCATTTACTTTCAACTTTGTGATGTTCTTGTCTTTTGTTGTGCTGTAGCCGAAGGGCAAACTAAAATAAAATTTTAAGATATTATCCTCTCAAACACATGATAACTTACAGATTGGCACTGCTTCCATTAAAAGGCAAATCTTCTGAAGAACATTTCCCAAGGCATTTTTCAATCCCTCCTTTGTTCTCCACTCCAGTTTCCAACTTGATCATGTTGTGAAGACGCGAGAGCAAATCCACAGTGCAACCATTCTTCGCCGCTTTGCTTTCCTTTTTGTAGTGAAGCACGCTGAAAATGTCAAATTTATTTTAAAATTATTTTAGAGGAGTCGTACATGAAATTGTCTTCAAGAGTAACTTCACAGGCTCCAGGATGCTTCGTGTACAAACTAAGGTTGTCCTTATTGACTTCCCCGACTCGTTCTGCGAGAGTAACCATTTCACCCTTCAGCGTGTGATTGAAAAACCCAAAAGGGATTTCAGGATTGGTTGCTTCGGGAAGTTTAGTCGTGGTTGGTTCGGGAAGCTTAGTCGTGGTTGCCGTTGTTGTTGTTAATGGAGCGATGAAGTCTTCATTGGTCAACAAAATGTAGTTATCCATATGCTAAATAAAAAATGGGAAAATTTGAGATTTTATAAGTGAAGATCCTTACAAATTTGATAGAAAGTTCATCACACTTTGGACCATCAGGAGGATCATCTTTTTTGATTTTCCCATCCACGTGTTTTCGAGATGCTTTTTGTGGAAGCATGTGGAAGACCAGCAAGTTCGCATAATTCGAATTCGGTAGAGTTCCGTTGATTTCCCATGTAACTGGTTTGACCATGCCTCCTTCAGGAATGCAGACAGCGTGATTCTCCGACTCGAAATAGTTCATTATATGTTTTCCTTCAATGTCCATTATGAAATTGCCATCCTTTGTGATATTCAAATTGAAAAACAATTCTGTCTCATTTTGGCCGTACATCTTGTGTCGCCTCCAAAGTGCCCGAACTTCACCAACTAAAAAAATTATCAAAACATTCTATAAAAATAGTACAACATACTTGGATGGGTGTGAGCAAGGATATTATTTTTGCATTTGGTCCACGCAACCTCAAGAGACGTCCACGGCATACATCTTCCACCACTGTTTTGGCACTCCCATACGTCAGAACATGTCACATTTTCTTTATAAATTGGTCCATTTGTTAATCCCATGATGTTCTTATCTTCTGTTGTGCTGTAGGCGAAAGGCAAACTAAAATATATTTAATAGATTATCACCCTAATCAACTGAAAACTTACAGATTGTCACTACTTCCGTCAAAAAAATTTGATCCTTTACATTTCCCCAGGCATTTTTCAATCACATCGCTGTGCTTCACTTCGGTCGTGAAATAAATCATGTTCTGAAGGTTGGTGAGCAAGTCCACTTTGCAACCATTCCTCGCCGCGATGCTTTCCTTTTTGTAGTGGAGCACGCTGAAAACGTCAAATTTATTTTAAGACTATTCTCAAGGAAACTCACATGAAATTGCCTTCAAAAGTAACTTCACAAGCTCCAGAATGATTCGTGAACAATTTATGATTGGTCTTTTTGACTTCCACGGTTCCCTCAGAAAGTGTAACCATTCCATCTTTCAGCGTGTGATTGAAAAACCCAACAGGGATTCCATCACCACCACCATCATCACCCTTAACCTGCCCGAGAAGAAACAAAAAAACCAAAGAAGCAAAGAGAGTTGGCAAAATGTTGGTAGTCGACGAGCGCAGAAATGAAGAAGACTTTCTTGTTCTCGAACCGTCTTTAAACTCTTCTTGTCGAATTAAATAAAAGAACATTTTGTTTGCTGTTGTTTTGATGTTGCTTTGAACGTTGTTTAAATAATTGCTTTGAAAAAATATTTTTGTTGAAAGGTGAAGAGTGAAGAAAACAAAGCCTTTTATAGTATTTTAAGGTTGGCTTTTATAGTGAACTTTTTTTTCGAACAGAAACTTGTCCCGACTTTCGGTCACAACAAAGTCTTTGTGAAATAAAATGCGCTGATTACAAATATCACTATGAGAGTACTCAAAACGGCAATCCAGGAGAATTGGGGTTTCTTCGAAAAAAAAGTTTAAAAATAAGAAAAAGGATTTTTCTAGGGTAAAAAAATATGCTGATTACGAATCTGAACTCGGATTTTGAAAAAGTCGAATCCCGAACCCGAACCGAATTTCGGACCCTGAACCCGGATTTCGAATAAGCAAATGATAGCTCGTTCAAAAGAGCTCGTCGAGCTGCATCGAATGACACCAAAATCAACGCGATCGGACCTGTTTCGACAAAGTTATTACATAAAGTATACCTATGGTAGTACTGTAGGAGTCGGCGACTTATGTCATAACTTTGTCAAAACTTGATGAATCACTGTAATTTTTGTGTCATTCGACTCAGCTCGACGAGCTCTTTCGAATGAGGCATCATATGTATAAACTTTTTTTACTCCAAAAAATCACCCCTATGATTTTTTAATATTCCGGCGTCTGTATCTCGGTCCAGCCACGTCGGATTTCATCGATTTTGGTGTCATTCGATGCATCTCGATGAGTTCTACCAGCATATGAAAGACTGACCATTTTGTACAATGTCCAACAATGTCCGGAGTCAAATTCCGAATTCGGGTTCGGGATTCGACTTTTTCAAAATCCGAGTTCAGATTCGTAATTAGCGTATTTTTTTACCCTAGAAAAACCCTTTTTCTTATTTTTTAACTTCTTATTCGAAGAAACCCCAATTCTCCTGGATTGCCCTCAAAACGGTATACTTTAACCTTTTTTTCCTTATTTTCAGCCGATGAGAAGCCAAAACAATACGGGAGGGGGCGGGTAATTTTACGGAAGAGGGGTGATTTTTGGGTCAAGAATTCATACATGTAGGTGTAAACGATACAGAAGAGGCAAATCTCTACTAACTTTGTGGATATATGAAAGAAAGCGAATTGTGAGTAGTGTAAAGCCAGCTATTTGATTCCTAAAGGCTGTGCAGTAGACGGCGTGGTGTAATGAATAACACATCAGCCCGGTCTACTGAAGATGCTGGTTCGTTCCCAGCCGCCGAATAACCTTCTGTACTAGCCGAAGGAGAGAAACAGCTATAGCCCGGCTGCTTTACTGAAGGGAGGCAGGCTTAGCTGGATTCCACGTATCATTTGAAATGACAGCACCAAAGTTGGGTATGGCTACAGAGCCGGCTCCGGCCCAGTTGAGATTGAATATTATAATTTTGAGAGTACCCTAAAACTAAATTAAAATAAAAAAGATTTTTCTTCAAAACAAAAAATTTTTATTTTCCATTCACACAAAAAAATTTCTCTTACAATACAAAAAAAAATAATTTTTCAAAAAAATCGTGGAGGGGGAAAACGTTGAAAATTTGGACGTTGTTGTTGTGATTGTTTCATAGAATGTAGACTTGGTTGTTGAGGATAAAAACCTCCTCTAGGCCGAGTAAATTGTGGAGGAGGAAGTGTTTGATGATGATAAAATTGTGGGGGAGGAGGAAGTGGTGGACGGATTAAATGATTTTGTTGTTGTTGTGGTAAATAATTAAAATGTTGTGGGGGAGGTGGACCTCCTCCTGATTGTTCATTATTTAAATATTGTTGTTGTTGCTGTAAGTCTTCATCTTCTTCTTGTTCATAATCTTCAAATGTTTCTTGACCGCCACTGGGCCGGGCAACTGAAATAAAAAATTTTTACTACCTCCTCTCAATAGTTATTTTTATAATTGGAAGGCTTATAGACCAGGGGTGGGACACTTTTTCGACCCAAACTCCAATCTGACTTTTTTCTTAACCCATCCCATCACTGGTTTTCTAACACTTCCCCTTGTTAAAGCAAGGGAGCCACCTAGTATGAGTAAATTCAAAAAAATAATTATGGCTTACAAGGGAACCTTTCGAACTGTAAATCAAAATGCTGTACTTTTTTGATATCAATAGATAAAGCAGCATCGATTTACTCTAGAAAATTTTCGTTTTTTTGGCTAGGAATATGAAACTAAAAAGTTATGGGGCCTGAAAGTTTGGCGGTAGGTGTCTGTTAATCAAAATTAAAAAAATAAATGTGACTTAAGAAATTCTTAAAAAAATATGTATTTTTAAATTATTTTTTTAAGATTATCCCCTTGTAATTTACTCATAAATTCAAAAAAATATTCCCCTCACCCATCCACATTCTCTCAAATTGTCTTTGATTTCTTTTTGGTTGTTGTCTCCCCCCAAATTGCCCTCCTCCTTGTTTTTTATTTTGATCAAAAGTTGAAGAATTTGTAGGCCCTCCAAGTCCAGGAAGGGAAGTTGCTGCAAGTATTGTACCAAAATCTTTATTCATTTCTCTACGCATTGGTTCATCAATTCCCAAACCTTTTTTTAAAAGGAAAATAAAATTAATTTTAAATTTAAAATAAAACTTTTCCCCTAAAGAAATTCGTTCCCTTTCCTCTTTTTCTAGAATAAAATCCACTTTACTTAATTTCTGAGGTAGTGGTATTTTCCTTTTTTCGTATATTCAACCTCCCGAAAACCGAAACTTTGAACGGCCATAACTCGGCCAAAAGTGATTTTGCAGGAGAACGGATATCACTTCACAATAGAAAGTTGGGGGTCCTTTATCGAATGGTATCAAAAAATAATCAAATACGCATTTACAGAAAAGATAGTTCCTTGTTAGATTTAAACAAAGGGGTGAAGGGTTCGAACCCTTCCTGAGAAAAAGTTTTTTTTTATTTTGGTTCTTTGTATTTTTTTAAAATTTTGTTTATCAAATTATCCTCAAATAAATTTTAGAAATACAAATTTCCAAAAAATTAAAAAAAACCAGGTATTTGTGGTGTAGCATTTAAATCTTCCTCTGCTGTAATTGGAATAGGTTCTCTTTCATCATCAAAATTATGGACAGATGAAGAGCTGAACAAACCTCCAACCTTTTAAAACAAAAATAATTTTAAAATTAAAAATTCAAAAGAAACTGTAGTCATTCCAAAAACATCTTCTTGAGTATCTCCTGGACGATTTCGAGTCCAAAATTTGGTGTTGTTATCGTTTGATCCTTTAAAAATGAAAAAAAATTTTTTAAAGGAAGAGGAATTTTATGAAAAAATAGCTCCTTGAATAAGAGAGGGGATAAACGTTTCAGCCCAGAGCAGGTATCGATCTTGCCCACTACAACAGAAAACGATTAAGACTGATATGAGCTAACGAGGAAAAATAAAGCAGGATGAAATTCCCATCTAAATCTCTAGTTTCCACTAAAGACACGTTTCATAAACCAAACGAATTTAGATCGATGCAAGTCCCCCTCCTATATAAACTAGTCTTCTCCCCCTTCCATAAATATAAACTTAAGCTGTTGATGACCGGTTAATTATCGCCTGTAGCGGCTCAAATAGGGAATTTTGAGAATATTTGAGACGCCACAGGCAAAAAATTAAAAGGTCACCAATTTCAGTTCAAAAAATTTTTTTTCCAAATTTACCAGTCGCCAAAATATGTCCCATAGGATGCCATTCCAACGTCCAAATAGCCATATCATGTGCCTGTTCCAACAAAGCCAATTCTTTATCATTATTGACCAGCCAATAACCTAGAGCACCGTCACCTCCTCCACTGACAAATAAACCTTCATGGACAGGATGCCAGGCGAGGGCTAAAAAAAATTTTTTTTGAGAAAAAAAATTTCAAAAAAAAACCTGTAACTTCCTTTTTATGCCCTCTAAAGGTTTGCACTTCTCTCATCATTCTAACATCATAAAGTTTAATTACGTGATCTCTTGAACCGGTTAATAGCCAATTTCCATTTTTATTCCATTGAACAGCCATTACAGAATTTTTGTGATCATGCCTAGAAATTTGAAAAAATTATTAGAAAATTTGGAAGGTGAAAAAAATTAAATTTTTAAATAAATTCAAACGACGTAAACGAGAAAAAAATATTTTAAAACACAAAAAAAATTCAAAAAATATTCCAAACCAAGTAAAAACTCAAAGAAAAAATTATAACGAAAGGTACCGACAAAGGGGTCCGAACCAAGTTGACACTCTGTCAAAAATCCTAAACAGATACCACTACACCAAGGACGTCCCTTCGGTGAAGTTTCTCCAAAAGCATGAAAAAGCACTCACTAACGTGACTTTAAGCAAAGGACACACCTAATAAAGTACAAAAATAAAAATACACGGAAAAAAGGACAAACAGAAAAACACACAATTTTAAAATCAAAAAAAAAAATTTAAAAACTAACAAAGTCGCCAAGCACTGCCCAGTTTTTGCATCCCACAATTTCACCGGTTGTTGAGAATCTCTCGATCCAGTTGCAATCAAAGCCTTTGTAGGATGCCAATCAACAGAACGAACATCGGCTCCATGTCCTCTCAAAACTCTTTCTTCATTGCATCTAGCAAAATCCCAAACTCGAGCAGTTGCATCATCCGAGCCGGTAACTAATTTCACATCGGTGGGACAAAAACTGTAAGAAAAACAAAACAAAAAGGTTAAGTTTTATTCAAAATAAAAAAAATGGAAAATAATCCAAATAAATTTTAAAAATTTTTAAAGGCAATCCTTAAAAATTAAAAAATTTTTATTATTTTTAAACAAAAATGAGTTTTTTTTTGAGAAAATTTAAAGGAAAAATTTTTTTTTCTTACTAGGATGAAGGGAAAGGGAAGGGTAAAGGAGGAAGATTGGAAGGAGATCAGTAAAGCAATGAAAGACTGGAAGAAATAGGGAGGAAACTAGAAAAAAAAGTGAAAAAAATGAAGAGTGCTCCTCACTTTTCAAAATTTTCCTTTCATTTCGAAGAGAGAGAGAAACAAATTGGCTCAGAACATGTTTGGCTAGAAACAACCAAAACATAAAAAAATATGGAAAATGTATAAGAAATATAGGAAGTCATAAAATTCAAGAATAATTAAATTTAAGAGATAAGGGTTTCCTAAATAATTTTCTAAAAAAATAAAAAACTTTGAAGAGAAATGAAAATCTTTTTCATACAGCGGGAATCGAACACACCCCATATTACAGGGGAAATCTAAGACAGAACCCACTACACCACAAAAATTATTAAAAGAAAAATAGAGTGAAACTAAAGAATCGATTTATAACTGCTAAAAATTAAAAGAATATTTAAATCTAAAAAAAGGTTGAATTGAACAAAATACGAAAAATATTAAACCCAAAAAAATAAATAATAAAAAAATTTTATTTTTTAAGGATTGCCATATGTAAAAAATCTAAAAAATATTTATCAATTGTTGAAGATTTTTAACCTTATAAAAATTCGAAATTTAAATTTTCTTTATTTTTAGCAAAATTAAATTTTTAAAAACCTTATTAATTTACACATATTTTTTTTATTATTATACCCAATTATTAAATTTTTAATAATTTATTTAATTTTTAGAAATAAACTCTTTTCCTTATTTATTTGTTCATACACAAACAATTTACTTTCTTTATTTAATTCAAAAATTTTACTACTGACGTAAAAAGCAAAATAAACTAAATTTTTGTCTACCTTCCTTCTAATTTTATCTTTCTACTCATTTTTATTTTTTTTACAGAACAAAAACTTGTCAAAACTCAAAAAAATAATTTAGATTAGAAAATTGACATTTCATCCCAAAAAATCTTTAATCAATTTTTTGCAAAAACAGACTCTCAATTTAAATTTCGATTTTATTTTCATTTTCTTTATTTTAATATGTTTCATTAAAAAATTTTTTTAACCCTCAAAAAGGTGTGAATCATTATAACCCCTAATTTTGAAAAAAGAAAAATTACTTCAACATTTAATATATTTACCGCAATCAAGGCAAAAATAAATTAGAGAAGATTTTTTAGAGAGGTTTGTGTGTGTCAATATTATCAACAAAAAAATTTTTTTTTATTGCTGACAAAATTTTTTTTTGAAAAAAAGTTGAGAGAAGAGAACCTTAATGAACGTATTGGCTCGTCCTTGTGCGCTTGAAACATGTGAACATTGTTGAAATTTGGCTGCCAATATTTAACAAAACCATCGTGATCAGCTGAAGCAAGCCATTGATCATTATGTGACCATTTCATTGCACGAATAGCAACATCGTGGGCCTTGAAAAAAATATATAAAATTAAAAATTATTAAAAGAAAATATAATTTAGAAAGTTAATGACACAAGAGGGTAGACACCCTTGTACTGCCGCCGAAAATTTTTATTATTTTGGCGAGGAAGATGTTCCGTGAAAGCGAGATGTGGGTGTCACGGAACAACATCGTCCGTTCACGGAACAACCTTCCCGCTAAAATAATAAAATTTTTATTGACGGACAATGGCCTGCTCTTGACGAAAGAAGGTGTCGGACCAAGCCAAACTAACCAATTAGAACTGACTCTAATTGAAAGTTATGTTTAAAAATTGAATCGCTGAGGGAAAAATTTAGTTTATAAAATTTTTTTAACCTTCCCTATAAAAATAGCTATACAGGTGTAAAAATCTTACAATTAACTGATATTAATAAAATTAGTCTAATGAATAAAAAATGTTAGCTAGAACAAATAAAAGGTTCAGTGACGTAAATTCCATCAAGATATTGTTCCATTCCATCAAAGAACAATATACATAACTATAAATTCGTTCAAAATTTTAGTCAATTCTCGATAGTATCTGAACACGAAAATTTTGAAGGATATACCCAAAAAGCAATTCGTAGCGGATTAGGAATGTCCTACTATTCAAATTAAGTTCCATGACCGGTACAAAAAATAAAAAAGCCTTTATACCACCAAACCTCATAAACAAAAATATTAAAAAAAACCTGTAATATAGTTTCAAAATTAAAAGCAGTTCCATTCCACAAAGTAAATTCTCCAGAGGAAGCTCCAGTAATTAAACGTTTTCCTTCTGGCGTCCAACAAAGAGAATAAACTGGACATTTAACTTTATTCATTGCAGAGCGTACAAATTTAGTTAAAACACAATCAACAGGAATATCTGGCATTGAAGCAGGGGGAAGAACATAATTTTGATAGAGAATATCTGGTTGAGTAACTGTTCGATTAAAACGAGAATGTTGCCATAAACGACCCTTTAAAAAGAAATTTTTAGAAAATGAGGAGATTAAAAAGAAAAACAAAACCCTGTGGACTAAGGTTGTCGGATAGTTGGAAATCTTCGGATCCGATATCCGAACCGAAAATTTCCGGATATCCGGCCTTTTTACAGATCCGGATCCGACAACCTTACTGTGGACCATTAACAAGGAATCGAGCAATTTAAGTAAATTGAAAGGACTGATTAAAGGAAGAAAGGAAAAGAAGACGCAAAAATGAAAAATCGTGAATTTATTGAGTGAAAGAAAACTAACAGTTCAAAAACAAAGGACCCATTAGACTTGTAAGTAGGATTGCTCGAACTAATCGAAACCCCGATCATTTTTAGGACAAAAAACGAACAAGGGAAAATTTGAGAAAGCTAAATAAACGCTTCTCAAAAATTATGATAACCGACATGTTCAATAGGAAAATTAACATAAAAACACAACGAAAATCGATTAATAATAAATATACTAAAGGTAAGAACAGGCATGTAAACTAATTGTAATTATTACCCGCAAGTCAGAACTGGAAAAAGAAAAACCATAAAAGGAGTAAATATTGGGAATGAACAGGGAACGCCTTAAACTTGATGGCCCCGTACAAATAAGTTACCCCATGTTAAGATTTAAAAATTTAAAAACCTCAACGTGGTTAAGCACATTAGCAACATAATCAATATGTTTTCTGACATTCGCAACATTTTTTCTCAATCTTCTACCAGGACCTTCAGGTATATCATCAATTGGACGGTTCTAAAAAATACAAAAAATGAACTCATCCTTTCCTTAAATTTCAAAACCGTTGCAGCTTTAAATCGAAACGCTTGTTTTGATTGTGTAGGTTGGGTTGAAGCAAAATCAAATTTTAAAGGAGACTCATCTTGAGGGTCTACTGATTTTATCACAGGGCTGGATTCGGCTGGTGGAGCTTAAATTTAAAAGAGAATCTAATTAATATTATCAAAAATTAAAAAAACCTTCCATTGAAGTCGAAGCTCGTTGCTGAAATGCTTGTTGGTGCATATGTGGAGTTGAAAATGTAGCAAGCATATCAAAACAATAGCTTAAAATTTGGACTGAAAAATTTTTAAAAATATAGTAAAGAAAGGTAGATACATGTCGAAAAAAAATTTCGAGAGAGTTGATTAAAATCAAATTTATTGTTAGGGTACAACCCAAGTAGGCGCGCGGCCATAACGGCGCAAAGCGATAATTCACTTCAAGAATTCCGAATCTCACCAAATTTAGTATTAAACGATATCTCTCATCGAGCTAAAGAGATTGGTACCAAAATCGTTAAGGTTCAGAAATTTTCCAGCTAGTTATGGCTTTGTGCCTACTTTGCCATGCGCCTAATTGGGCGTGTCCCAAATTAAAAATGATTTAACGAGGTTTTGATAAACTCTGTTTTACTTTATTTGGGAACTATAGCTACTTGATGAAATTTTGTGTATCACGAATACAAAATAAAAATACCTAAACAGGATTGTAAAGCAAAAATCGTAAAGGTTTGGTTTCGAACAAAACCAAAAATGAAATGGATTTTTAAATTACCGCTGTGTTTAATATTATTTCTGGCGTTCTGTCATTTTTAAATATTTTACTATAAAAGGTGAAATCTTTCTCTTCAAACTTTTTTGGAGGAATTCTCTTTTAAAATTTTTTATTTTGTTAATTTGCAGACAAAAGATTTTAGGAAAAAGCACAATATTCTGAGAAATTTTAAGCAACAACAATGCATTTGTCTTTAGCTAAAGTTGTTGCTATTAAAGAGCCGCCTCAATATGATCGACGACAAGGATTTGTGCCTAGAACGCAAGATGATTTTGGTGATGGAGGGGCTTTTCCAGAGATACATATTGCTCAGTTTCCAATCGGTTAGCTTCTTTGATTACGTTTTTGAAAAATTTATTTAATTTAGGTATGGGCGCGGATAAGCCCGGCACTGGGGCAAAGAACACAGTTGCGCTTCAGTTTGACTCTGAGGGCAAACTTCGATTTGATGAGCTTACACGTCTTGGACATGGGAAAGACAAGGTTTCTTAAATACTACCTTTTATAACAGAACTTCTGTTTAGATTGTCCATTCCCGTCTTTCTGATATGAAATCTAAACATATTGATGATGAAGATGAAACTTTCAAGAAACCAACAGATTCAGAGATACATGAAACAACTGAAGCAACTCGTGCTTCCTTAGAGAAAATTACAGCTGTTAAGGTTTGCTTTTATTCAGGTGAAATTCTCTAATTCTTTTTTAGATCGCAGCAGCATTACCAGTCCAGCATGCAAAGAAAACAGCGCCAGCACAATTTATTCGCTACACTCCGAGTCAGCAGGCTGGTTTTCATACAAGTGGAGCACAACAAAGAATTATTCGTTTGGTTGAAGAGCAGAAGGATCCAATGGAGCCACCACGCTTTCAGTTAGCTTTTAAATTTTAGGCGAAATTTATGAGATCGGTCCAAATGTACAGAGGGCCTGATTCGCCTCAGATTTGTAAATTCGTTTAATAGATGATTTTCAAAATATGATTCGATTTAACTAGTCAAATACTTCTAATCATACCCCTTTATCTTGATATTAGGCCTAGCTGTACATCGTGTTGTGAACAAATTATGAATTTTATTTTCAGAATAAACCAGAAAATACCTCGTGGCCCGCCTTCTCCTCCTGCGCCAGTGTTGCATTCACCTCCTAGAAAGGTTTAAATATCTGAAAAATATTTTATGAATTATTTTTCAGGTCACCACTAAAGAACAGGCTGACTGGAAAATTCCCCCTTGTGTCTCAAATTGGAAAAACCCAAAAGGTTACACTGTTGCTTTGGACAAACGTTTGGCTGCTGATGGACGTGGATTGCAACAAGTTCACATTAATGAGGGTTTTGCTAAATTTGCCGAAGCTCTTTCAATTGCTGAACGGAAAGCGAGAGAATCAGTCGAAACTAGGGCTCAGATGGAACGACTAATTGCACAAAACAAGAAGACTGAGCAAGAAAAGAGAATGAGAGAAATGGCACAAAGTGCCAGAATTCAACGTTCTCAAGCTCTACGAAAAGCTGAAGCTGATGAAGATCAAAAATTAATGGAAGAGGCAAAGGAAAGGGAAGCTATTCGACGTGATAGAGTTGAAGATCACCGAAAAGAAAGGAATATTGCCCGTAGTAGACCTGACAAATTGGAAAAGTTGAAACGGGATAAGGTTTTCTTATCTTTGAAAAATGTGTTTTAAATTCGATTTTCAGGATCGTGATATTTCCGAAAAAATTGCACTTGGTCTTCCTGATTCACGTGCGCGGACGACTACCGGTACACAGTTTGACTCGCGTCTCTTTAATCAAAACGCGGTGCTTTTTTATTTTTAATTGGGGAAACATAAATTGATTTTGGAAAGGGAAACGTGCTCATAACATTTGCTCATTATTCTCGTTATAGGGAATTTACAGTGGAGGTATTGATGACGAGACTTACACAGCATATGACAAACCTTGGCGTCCACAAGATAATGTTCAACAACATATTTATCGACCAAGTATTCAATTTTTAAAGATTTTTTTGTTGATTAAAAAATTTATTTTTGTAGGAAAAGATGTTGATAGTGGTATTTATGGGGCTGATTTGGACAAAATAATCAATACAAGTCGTTTTGTACCAGACAAAGGTTTCTCTGGAACTGAAGGGGAAGGAAGTGGTGCCCCTAGAGGAAGTGGACCTGTTCAGGTTAATATTGAATTATCTTTTCTAAAATTCCTTAAATTTTTTCAGTTTGAACGAGAAGAGGAAGACATTTTCGGATTGGGCGAATTATTGCAAACAAGTTCAACTGCAAAAGTTTCATTAGCATCTAAGAGGAAGTTGTCAGACGAGAGGGATGGGAAAGAAAATATTAAAAGAAGTCGTAAATGAGTATTATTTTTTAATTTATTTTTTGCAACTTTAAGTCATTAGAACATTTAGTGCTCAATAAAATTTTTGAATTTTTGATCAAAATAAGCTGCATTTGTCTCCTTATACATTTTTCCCATTTTACAATTGTCGTGTCCCCATTTTCCCTGGGAGGAAGGGCGGCGTCTATGAACTTCATAAAAAGACTGCGAATATTCACAGGCCAAATATTCGCGAATAATTATTGATTTTTAGATAGTAAATTATGAAATTTCTAGTTCATTTTCTTTACTTTAAAAAAGGTTTAGCCTTTATTTTCAAATCTATTTTAATAAATATAGTTAACTTTTTCTTAAATTTTTAGATTGAATTCATTAACATTGAAAATGTCCTTCAAGCTTAGAGAGTGAGTTTACAGTTGTTTAATAAATTTATTTTTTCATTTTTTAGTATTTTGCCATCCCCCGTTAATGTTCAACAACCAAATGCCGAACTTTACGCTAACGATCCTTGGTTTAAAGGAAGAGAAGATGCTTTTCATGACAAGTTTGCTAAAGTTGTTGCTATTAAAGAGCCGCCTCCATACGGTCGACGACAAGGATTTGTGCCTAGAACGCAAGATGATTTTGGGGATGGAGGGGCTTTTCCAGAGATACATATTGCTCAGTTTCCAATCGGTTAGCTTTTTCGACTTTGTCTTTAGAACAGTTTATCCCTTTTAGGTATGGGCGCTGATAAGCCCGGCACTGGTGCAAAGAACACAGTTGCGCTTCAGTTTGACTCTGAGGGCAAACTTCGATTTGATGAGCTTACACGTCTTGGACATGGGAAAGACAAGGTTTCTTAAATACTACCTTTTATAACAGAACTTCTGTTTAGATTGTCCATTCCCGTCTTTCTGATATGAAATCTAAACATATTGATGATGAAGATGAAAGTTTCAAAAAACCAACAGATGAGGAAATACATGAAACAACCGAAACAACGCGTGCTGCTTTGGAAAAAATTACAACAACAAAGGTTCTCTTTAATTTAAGGAATTTAGATTGGATTTATTTTTAGGTGGCAGCAGCATTACCAGTTCAACATGCAAAAAAGACAGCGCCTGCACAATTTATTCGTTACACTCCTAGCCAACAATCAGGCCTCCACGCAAGTGGAGCACAACAAAGAATTATTCGTTTGGTTGAAGAGCAGAAGGATCCAATGGAGCCGCCACGTTTTCAGTTAGTTTTCCTACAAAATATTAGAGATATATTGGCGAGGTCATCCCGATGTACTGAGAGCCCAATGTTTTAGTTCAGTCTTACCTCGGCTTTACTGTACATTGAAGGGGACCAAAATTACTCGAGGGCTGTCACTCCATTCCTGTGCTTTCTTTATTCTTTATGTACCTAGATTAATATTATTATTTTTCAGAATCAACCAAAAGATTCCTCGTGCCCCGCCTTCTCCGCCTGCTCCAGTAATGCACTCACCCACTCGAAAGGTTTGATGATTTTCCAGGTCACCGCTAAGAAAATTATTTTTCAGGTCACCGCTAAAGAACAGGCTGACTGGAAAATTCCTCCGTGTGTCTCAAATTGGAAAAACCCAAAAGGTTACACTGTTGCTTTGGACAAACGTTTGGCTGCTGATGGACGCGGATTACAACAAGTTCACATTAATGAGGGCTTTGCCAAATTTGCTGAAGCTCTTTCAATTGCTGAACGGAAAGCGAGAGAATCAGTCGAAACTAGGGCTCAAATGGAACGCTTAATTGCCCAAAATAAGAAGACTGAACAAGAAAAGAGAATGAGAGAAATGGCACAAAGTGCCAGAATTCAACGTTCTCAAGCTCTACGAAAAGCTGAAGCCGATGAAGATCAAAAATTAATGGAAGAAGCAAAGGAAAGGGAAGCTATTCGACGTGATAGAGTTGAGGATCACCGAAAAGAGAGGAATATTGCCCGTAGTAGACCTGACAAATTGGAAAAACTGAAACGGGATAAGGTTTTTTTATCTTTGAAAAATGTATTTCAAATTCTAATTTTCAGGATCGTGACATTTCCGAAAAAATTGCACTTGGCCTTCCTGATTCACGTGCACGAGCGTCTGGTGAGACACAATTTGATGCTCGTCTATTCAATCAAACTGGGGTTTGTTTTTGGAAATAATTGTTGATGGTTTTAATAGGGGGCAGGG